CTCGGATAGGAGGTGCTCGTCGGTTTCTGATGAAACTTTTGTACCAGGCTGAGGACGTAAAACTTTTATGGGTTTCGAAAATTGGTCCAGTGACTGTGGAGCTATGAGCGAAAAACGAAGATTCTAGAACGTACTTAAAGCAGAGATTGGTTGTAGAAAAAATTCTTAGGTGGGTCATCGATTAATGAGCCAATTCTCTCGTTTCACTAGGCACCAACAACGTAGAATTATCGTATACCTAAGGTTTTGAAAATATTTATATTAGTACGTGGAAAGTAGTAAATCCACTTGGTTCCATTTGTCAAAGTTGTGTAACTCAGTTGTCAATTATTATTAGACACGTACAGGGTTGACCAGTTTCGACTCGACCAAAGCAAAAATCTACTTTACAGAAGACAAACATTTGAAGGGTACCGGGGAAAAACGGCATTAGTCCATTATTTGGCTAAATTTTAGCTTTCAGTTTATTTTGGTGGCATTTTCCTGACGCTATCTTGTAATCAGCTTCTTAAATTGTAAAAAGGGCCTAGGTTCACAAAACAACAGCTATAATATTCCGTGTGCCGGGGAAGAATGCCATGAGTCCCTGCACGTGTATGAAAAAACGGCATAAGTCTATATAGAAACAGGAAGACAGAGAGACGTAATGAAAACGTTGCGCGCCACTACCCACGAACTTGGACCTGCTTTGTTTTTGTGAACGTTTTTCGCTGTTTTACGCTTGTTCCTGAACCTGAACGCTGTAGACTTCTTCGCGAATTTAATGAACTAGGAATCACTCTTTGAAAACAACTTCAATATATCGTTCGGTTATCCACGAAACGATACTTGTAGTACGTGTGATTCCTTAAAAGCTGATATATCTTCACTTCTTCCACACCATAAATTCCGACACGGAACAAACTAGGCAGTCAGCAAGTAATAATTTGGAGATAAAGATACTTGAGAAGACACTAGAGGAAGGACGCCTATTATCGGGTACCTTTTTAAAAATGTTCAGTAAAACTTTTCTATTCATTCCCAAAAGTTAATTGGTTGACATATTTATTGCTTATTGTTCCTAGTTTTGTTTTACAAGAGATAATTAAAATTAAGTAAACACAGTTGCTGTTATTCAGAAAATTCGTAAATGGTGTCATTTCCTTAAATTAAAAAAAGGTTGCCTAATATCGGGTAGTGTCGATTCCAAATATCGGGTGCCCGATATTAGGCTACAACTTCTTTAAAAAATGCAAAGTAGCAATATTAGCTATCTAAGATATTTTATGTTACAGTAAGACACAGGAGAATACAAAAAATAAAATAAGTATTTCTCAATAACCAGTGAATAAAGTTCAAAAGAAACAAGTATTTATCCATCTAAACATAATTCACAAATAAATGATTTCTCCTTGCCTATATTTGAGCAATCTTCGTGACACCAACGCAGACACTTCATGCATTGGACCCACTTGGATCCAGAAATATCTTCAGAGAACCAGTTGGAACAATAAAAGCATTCCACATCGACATCATCTTGGTCCATGTCGTCATCCGTGTCTACCAATTGAATTTCATCACTATCAGAACTGCTAGATGAGCTTATCTTCCTCTTTCTTCCTTTTTTTCCTTTTGGGATCGATTTTTTATTGTTAACTTTTTCCTTCTCGTTTTTTAGTTTTGATTTATTTTGATTCAGGCTAACTTTTTTCGGTGTGATCTTTTTTCTTTTTTTCAAGCTCTCTTCTAAATCTGTCTTATAAGGCGCAGAAGTGAGGATAGCTGTTGAACCACGTTTACCTCCTTTTTTAGAAGCTTCACCCGAACAACCTGTCCTTGGAGACTGATGTTTTGTCTTTAGGCTAGATATAGGACAAATATCCTGAGGTGCAACGAGCTTAGGTGTCGAAATGGGTGGTGTAGTTTCTCTTTCTTTTCTTAAGTTTTCAGCAACAGCAGGATCCACAGCAATCTAATTTTCGTCATTATCTCCTTCGACTGATTGTCTTTCATTTGAAGAATGGATGGCAAATTCGTCATCTCGGAAAATTGTCGGTTGGAATGGAAATATTCCACATTTTCTAAAACCATTCACTGCAATTTTATAACTCGCTGCTCTTAAATATAGGCTCTTGCCATTAGTTCCGATATTTGATAGGAAGTTACAAGTCTCCCTGGATTTGCTTTAAGCCATGTTTCAATTTCAGCAGCATAATAAGTTTTGAAAGGTGACATAAAGGAGACATCGAGTGGTTGTAACTTATTTGTAGAATGGGGAGGTAGGCAGATAATATGGACGAAATTATCTCTGGCAATGTTGATAACATCAATATTCCTTGAATGAGAATAGTGTCCATCTAATATCAAGACAACTTGTTCGGATTCGCTAGGTTTTACATGTAAAATAAAGTGCCTCAGCCAGTCTGTAAAAATGTCTTGCTGAATCCATCCCGATGGATGACATCTGGCAACGGACCCAGGGGGAGCCATTTAGAAGCTCAGGCTTCATATTTTTGCGGGGAAACACCAACATTGGTGGTATGTAACGACCGACAGCGTTCATACACGTTACAATAGTTACTAAAGCACCCCGTTCCGAAGCAGTTAAAGCTGCAACTTGCCTTTTTCCTTTCAAACTTACCACTTTGACATGTTTGTGTTGTACTATCGTAATACCAGTCTCATCAACATTATAGATTGCTGCTGGATTAAAGCCAACTTTTGGCAAAACGCTACCAAGGAGGTTGAAAAATGCTTGAACATTCTCTTTTGTAAAACCCTTAACACGGGCTGCAGAAATTCCCTGTGGTTTTCGGAAAGACAATTTTGGGTGTCTTGATATGAACGATTTCAACCATTTTTTTCCAGCAGCGGCACTTCGGCAAGAAAAAGGATGCTTAAGCCCATTACGTATCGCCAGCTGAAAGGCTAGTCTTCTTACATCTGACGCTCAGAGACCAAAATACCGTCTTTCCATTTCGAGAGCATACTCAACTAGTGATTCTTCAAGTTCATTTGTTAAAGTAGGTTTTCTGCGTAATTTGATAGCAAGTAATGTATCAGCCGGTTTCTTACTTATTACATAATCAATCAGTGTCCTTTTGGGCACGCCAAATGCTTTAGACGCCTTGAGAGTTCCCATTTCCTTGGTCTCAACTGCTTCTACTGCCCTCTTCATCGCTTCTGCATTCCATTGCTTTCTTTTTTTTTGGAGGCATCTGTGAATAAACAGATGCTTAATAATTATAAATTCAATATAATGAAAAAATATCTACGTCACAACATCAAGTGTTCCTTATATCGGGTACCCGATATTTGGCATCTTTACATGCCCGATATTAGGAAACATAACCTCAAAATATTACGACAATATATCTTAAAAAGCAAATCGAAAGGGACATCTTTCTAATCCTTAGTGGATGGCTGCAAGCCTACAGAAGACATATGAACATAAAAATAAACACAAACATGAAAACACCAATTTAGTTAACACTTTCAAAATATTCGTGGCGGATTTCACACACTTCCCGTGTTTGTGGAAAGTCTCTGGTGGAAAGAATGAAGGTCACAAAAACATATGAACGTTACAGGTTGCATTTAATGTGGTTTCTGTTACATGTTGGACATTATAACAGTAGATGGCTGTAGTAGCTCGTCTAATAAACCGCTGCCCGATATTCGGAACCTACCCGATATTAGCCATCCTTCCTCTGCATCAAAAAAGGAGTGAGCGATTTTACAGTCTTAAGAGAACTTACCACAAACGTGTCTCGAAGTTCCCAGCTATCTAAAGTATCACGATGGATTGCCAAAAAAACTTGCCCTGTCCAAATATTACGACAAGTGATGTTTACTATAAGCGGCAACTAAATTTCATCAGTTTTAACATCCACATTCTTTTACACTCAAATTCTATCTTTTATACCTACGACGAATCTATTGCTAAGAAAGGAGCTGACGATGCCTGTTCTATGCTGTATCACTTTTTTTATAACATCCTGCCGAAGGGAGTAAAAGAACTTGCCATTTTCTGTGACTCCTGTGCAGGGCAAAATAAAAACTTTACAGTTATTCCGTTTTTGCATTACTTGGTTACCAAGAAAAATCGTTTTACTGCTGTGAGAGTAATACTCCCGATCAGTGGGCATTCATACCTCGAGTGTGACAGGGATATGAGTCTCGTGAACCAAAGAGCATACACTTAGGTGAAACCTACACCATTTGAAGCCATTGATTGTGGCAAAATTGTTGATTTTCAAGATTGGAGTACGTTTTTATCGCCGTTTTATCCAACGAAGTGCCCCTTTCCAACCCGACCGAAATGGAAGGATTATCAGGATCTGGCCAAATTTCTAGAGAGAGCAGATTCCAGGTCATTTTATCAACAGTTAATATCTCTTGATCATCCAGAAGACAGCAGTGATGAACAGGGGAAAAGTGGCACGAGTCCAGAGTTGAACATCATCTTTTGTTTGTTACGTTACTAGTTTTGAGTAAAAGTTCATTTCGTAAAATCTATTTTACCAATTACCATCAATTTGACTTTTCAACAAGTAAGTAAACCTTAATTACCGATTTTCTCAAAATCAGTCCGTATGGACTATTGTCGTTATTCCCCGGTACCCTTCATTTATATCTCTGTTTTTATGTCTCAATTTTGATGACTAAGTTGAGTGGCGAAAACTCCACCCCGTGTAAATTGCTAGCAAAAAATTTCAGTGACTGAAAATATTCTTTAGAATGTATATGCTCACGAAACCTATTTTATTCTTTTATCAATGCTTTCACCATAGAAGAATTTATTACTTAGCGTAGGTGATGTTCTTATTAGTTTTCGTGATGGTGGAAATTGCTTTCAAACTTGTAATATCCAATCTCCTTAAAAAAACATTGCAACCATTCCTTTCTCTCTTTTATTTCCATTCCATTAATAAATTATAGAAAATGTCAATTCCTACCGCTCTTACACAATTCCACATTCCAACAGGTTTAGATTTTACCATTTCCTTTTATCGTTTTCCAGCCAAAAGCATCCAAATTTGGTAAAAATTCGAATCGGAACCAACTATAAACACTGAAGCATTGTTCTCGTGTCCTTCAACGTCATGTTGTGGTCCGATCGATCCATAGACAAGAGAATGTCGTGCAAAATATGAAACAGATGGTGATCGCATGCCTTAAGCACCGGCACTGAGGTCAATGCAGTTCTCGCCAAATATAGTAAGCAAAGCTTATTTGTCCCTGCCGAACGTGACTATCAGAGTCGTAGCTTGTGGGCTTTTTTCTTTAATATCTCAATCAGTGGCGGATGCAGAAGTATACGAGCCCCTTCCCACTTCAGTTGGCCCACTTCAAGATTTGTACCAAAATATGCCTTTATAAACTAAACATGACGAAACTATTTACCTCTAAAACAATTGATTTTCTCAAAAACATTTTAGATATACTCTAGTCGTAAAAAATACATATTTGAAATCACTTAGACCTATAACTAATAGAACATCTGAACAAATAAACAATGTGCGAATAAATGCGCGAAGTTAACAAAGCAACAATTGAAAGATTACCATTGGGGTAACATCACCTTTATTTTTTATTACTGCTGAAATTCTTTGGGGCATAGTGTTAACCAAGTTTTGGCAAAAATTTGGTGTAAAACAATCCCATATTTCTTGAAGCTTTTGTCTCAGTTCGGTGATTGTTCGAGCAGGATGTTGTCGTAGAACCTTTTTCATCTCGTGCCACAAAGTTTCAATAGGTGACAGATCTGGACTGCTAGAAACCCATTACAAAAGTGGTACATTATTTTCTTTCATCCATTTTATAGCCTTTTTTGAGGTATGGCACGCTGCACCATCTTGCTGAAACACAAAAACTTGGCCGGATGTCAAACATTCTTCCATCACTGGTAAAACCGATTCTTCTAAAATTGCCAAATATTTGTTTGTATCCACATTTCCGTCAATAAAATAAAGTTTCCCTACTCCTTTTGATGACATACTGCCCCAGACCACAATGGATGCTGGAAATTTCACTTTTCTCTTCAAACAGTCAACATGGAATGCTTCATTTTTTTTGCGAATAACTCTACTGCGACTGTCACGAACACGAACTTCGAATCGGGCCTCATCACTCCATTGTATTGCACACCATTGTTGAGGTGTCCATTGTCTATGTTCTTTAGCCCATCTAAGCCGATTTTTCTTTTTCAGTGGAGTTAATAGTGGCTTTTCTTTGGCTTATAAACAAGTTGTGCAACTTTAGGGTTTTTACTTCACTTTTTTTTATAAGAAAACTTACCTTGCAAGTGCTAAATCCCAGTTTGTGGGCCTCTCTATGAGTTGTGGACCTCGAAATCTCATTCCAACAGCGTCACTCCATAGAGCACTTAATTGTAAATCGTTGGTACGCCTGTTTTTCACGATTATTCTTCTTAATGCTCTTCGGTCGGCATTTGTGATATTACTTTTTTTCACATATCGTGGCTTAATATTAACTGATCCTGTTACGTTATATCTTCTAACAATATTTCTCACACTGTACCGTGATAAGTCTAACAAAGTTGCGATTTCTGAGTTTGATTTCCCAGAATTAAAAAATTGAATTATCAGTAACCGAATTTTCTCACTAATAACCTTTCCTCTACCTATTTTCAAAACCTTAACAACCCAAAACTATTTTAAACGTATTCTGACAGCTGTGATTAATAAAAACAATTGTCATGGCTTTTATTGTTCACAGCCACCTATGCGTTATAGACTTATTTTGCATGGAAATGAAAATAGGTTGATATGCTGTAATTGCAACATTTTTTATTTTTATGCTGCAAATTTGATTAGGGAGTGATAAAGTTGGTTTTTTTCTACTATATACGAGTATTATCATTTTTATTATTTGTGCTTGATAAAAAAAAACTAAGATTTTAATAGTTGGGCCAACTGAAGTGGGAAGGGGTTCGTAGTAGTGGTAGCAGAGTCTGGGAGAAGAAGCCCATTTGACGCTTTTTGCTGACGTCGAGTGTACCAACACTTAACTATCCATTTCGTCTACCATTCCCAACGACGACCACTCCGCTGATGATTCACTCCATGACACGATTCGCAGCCTAAAAGCCGAGCTAAAAGCTGTGAAAATGAAAAGTTCGCCCACAAAACAAGATTAAAAACTGCTTTAAACTAAACTATGCCTAAAACAATCTTCGGGCTCTTGTAGGGAAATGTTTGAACCATAATAATGATTTTGAATGGAATTTTTAAGACTCTAAAATACTTTTTGCAAGATTAAAAATCACTCGTACCTCGACAAAGGTCAATTTAAGAGAAAAGTTACTAAGGCGCTTTTTGTTAAGAATGGCCCAAAAAACAAAAAAAGAACTTTGCCGAGAGCGAAGATCCGTGTTTTTATAATTTGTTTACAACAAATTAAACTTTGCAACCTTTTCTTTTTCTGATTCGGGTCACTTAAACTCGATTTTTTTTCATAATCATATTTGTTTAATGTCTCTTGAATCAAAGAAATGTTTTTTCCGCTCCGGACTAAGATTTCTTCTAGGTTTTTAATATCATTCTGAACAAAAAGGTTCTTAGTAACTCTCCTCTAAAGTTGTCTGTTTTCCAGCTATAACAGATTTATTACCTGGAAGATCCCAAAATGACGTCCTTCAACGCCTTAAAAATCGGTTAATGATGATTATTTTTTTATTGTAACATTCCCCTACAAGACCTCGAAAATCATTTTTGTCCAAGTTTTTTTTAAACGATTTTTAACCTTGTCTGGTACGCTATTACGTGGCGAATTTTTAATTTTCCCAGACTATACAGTGCAACCAATGGGACCTAAGAGCTGATTGCCCTTCATCCTATGCAGAATATAGAAGCCTATAAAGATTGATTAACATAAAAAAATCTAGGGGGTAGAGAGATGTAGCATGTTGTATTATATAAGGAAAAACATACTCCCCTGAGTAGGCCAGTGATACTAACTGAAGATAGCCCAAAAAGAGATCAGAAAAATTCTAGCGCCAACTATGAGACACTAGCAGAATACAAAAATAAATTTAGAAATCTACTTTGAAAAGAGCTAGAGTATTTGGTTCTGCGACTGTCTAATGTCTTTTAGATGGCCCTTTTTGAACGTCGGAATACAGTGTATGGCTATCTTCAGGTAGTTTAACAATGCTGGAAAGTGCAACGCATCTCGCTCCCAGGACAAGGAGCAGATATTGTCTTAACACAGTTTGCCAGGGCATTCATTGTGACCTGGACCATACCAGAGACACTAATTTTCAAATAATTAGTCGTTGTGCGCTGTTATTGTCGGTTGTGATAGCGGTCTGTAAGACCTTAGATCTTATGTCAAAGTATGAGTTCGTAAGTTCGTCAGGTCTGGCAATCCATAACCCAGACATTGTTCAAGAAAGAAGGGAGGAGGGACAGAAGAAGGGAGGAACAGAGCAAACAGAGAGAAGAACATATTTGAGGGGATGTGATTAGGCGCGATTTAAACGGTTCAATTTCTCGATATTGTAACAAGAATGAATAGTACTGTTGGCGCCATCTGTTGAGGACCGCGCCAGACTCTCCTTCGGTGCGAGACTGCTGGCGACATCTGTTGGGGACCGTGCCAGTGACTCTCCTTCTAGATCGAAGACTGACCTCGAAGATTCTGGGCTGGCTATGTGGCGTGCCGGAACCTTCTCGAATCAGTCCGATGCGGACTACGAGCCCCTTCCCACTTCAGTTGGCCCAACTATTGAAATCTTAGTTTTCTTCTTATCAAACACAAATAATAAAAATGTAGCAGGGTGTTATAGGTTTAAAATATTAACAATGAATATTTTGATAATATATAGTAGAAAACACCAACTTTATCACTCCCTAATAAAATTTGCAGCATAAAAATAACACATGTTGCAATTACAGCATATCAACATATTTTCATTTCAATGCAAAATAAGTCTATAACGCATAGGTGGATGTGAAAAATAAAAGCCATGACAATTGATTTTATTAATCACAGCTGCCAGAAGACGCTTAAAATAGTTTTGGGTAGTTAAGGTTTTCAAAATGGGTAGAGGAAAGGTTATTAGTGAGAAAATTCGGTTACTGATAATTAAATTTTTTAATTCTGGGAAATGAAACTCAGAAATTGCAACTTTGTTAGACTTATCGCGGCACAGTGTGAGAAATATTGTTAGAAGATATAACGTAACTGGTTCAGTTAATATTAATCCACGACATGTGAAAAAAAGTAATATCACAAATGCCGACCGAAGAGTATTAAGACGAATAATCGTGAAAAATAGGCGTGCCAATTATTTACAATTAAGTGCTCTGTGCATTGACGCCGTTGGAAGGAGAATTTCGAGGTCCACAACTCATAGAGAGGCTCACAAACTGGGATTTAGCACTTGCAAGGTAAGTTTCCAGCATCCATTATGGTCTGGGGCAGTATGTCATCAAAAGGAGTAGGAAAAACTCATTTTATTGATGGAAATGTGGATACAAACAAATATTTGTCAATTTTAAGAGAATCGCTTTTACCAGTGATGGAAGAATGTTTGACGTCCGGCCAAGATTTTGTGTTTCAGCAAGATGGTGCAACGTGCCATACCTCAAAAAAGGCTATAAAATGGATGGAAGAAAATAATGTACCACTTTTGAAATGGGTTTCTAGCAGTCCAGATCTGTCAGCTATTGAAACTTTGTGGCACGAGATAAAAAAGGTTCTACGACAACATCCTGCTCGTACAATCACCGAACTGAGACAAAAGCTTCAAGAAATATGGGATTGTTTTACACCAAATTTTTGACAAAACTTGGTTAACATTAAAGAATTTCAGGTGATGTTACCCAATGGTTATCTTTCAATTGTTGCATTTATTCGCACATTGTTTATTTGTTCAGATGTTCTATTAGATATAGGTCTAAGTGATTTCAAATATGTATTTTTTACGTGTATCTAAAATGTTTTTGAGAAAATAAATCGTTTTAGAAGTAATTAGTTTCGTCATGTTTAGTTTATAAAGGCATATTTTCGTACAAATCTTGAAGTGGGCCAACTGAAGTGGGAAGGGGCTCGTATATAAGTCGGCGACCGGGAGAGGGAAGCAGAGTAGGGTAGAGTTGAGTTTAAATAAATTGGTGCATTTCTTTTGGTGGAATCCAGTGTTTTAATACACACCTAAAAGAACCCAGAAAAACGCGGCAATATATTAGTGACTTTATAAAAAAAGAACAAAAGGAATACGTACGAAATTCAGTTTGAAATATGTTGCATTTTTATCAAGCAGATAGACAAGAATGCTAGTTAAACTGCACAGTGAAAATGATTGAACTATAACAACTTTATAAATAATTCAGGAGCCGTCTTTAAAATACATAAAATATTCTACTTCAGTCTGCCCTCTAACCGTATCACAGATTCGCAAAAAAGCTATGACGAACGCTCACACACATATTTATGTAGATTTTTATTTTTCGACAACAGGTCGGTGTAGAGTTAAATTTGAATTGTATATTTTTAAAAATTTGTTTACATCTCCTTTTTAGAAAGCCAGTGACACGTAACCACCACCCATGCTAATATCATGAATGAATGAGGCAACAGCACAACTCGTGACGTAAATACTTCGGTCAGTACAGTCAATCTAGTAATAGAATATAAATAGTTTGTTTGGCAGGTATGACTTGTTTTTCTGATTTTAAGGGAAATGTTCACTAAAATAATGTTTTTTATCTTCGTCGGACAATTAAATAGAGGCATAAAAATCACTTTATTGACGTTTCAGCTACCGCGACAGCCTTAAAACATTGAAATTCTTAACAAATATTTATAACCACCATTCGAGTAGGGAGCTATTAAAATATTTTTAAATACTAACGTTGACATCATTGTATTGTATACTAAGTGACATATAAATCCGAACACCCAGTTTAAATGGTTTTATTCTAATAAAAGTTGGTGAATGTATTTATCTTACTGTAAATAACAAGTGAACAAATTTTCAGCCTTATCAGTTGGACATTCCGGTTTTTATACTGCTTTTTTTAATTCACTAACGCTCTAAAAATTAATATTTCAGCCGCAGTAAAGAATCAACGTTGGCGGATTTTGGTTCTTGACATCCTTTACGATCGGTTACGATGCCTAGAGTACGGAGACCTGTACGATTTCGTCAACTTAGTGAGTTTGATAGGGGCCGTATAGTGGGACTTCGGGAAGCTGGACTTTCTTTTCGGGCAATTGCAGTTAGAGTGCAAAGAAGTGTAGACACTGTGGTTAGGTGTTGTCAGGCATGGCTTCGAGAAGGCCGTACGCAAAGAGCAAGGGGTACTGGACGCCGCCGTAGAACAACAGACCGTGAAGATCGCCGCCTAAGATTATTGGCCTTAAGGGACCGTTTCTCCACTACCAGGTCCATTGCAAATGAATGGTTTGCAGAACACGGAAGACCTATTGGCATGCGAAGTGTTTACCGACGAATGAGAAGTTTTGGCTTGTTTTCATACCGGCCGCACTGGGTCTTCCCTTTAACTCGAGAACACCGACGTAATCGCCCTGAGTGGCGCAGACAACGGTCACTCTGGATCAGGAATGGAACAGTATTGTCTTTAGTGACGAATCTCGATTTTGCTTAGGCATGCACGATGGTCGTGCCAGGGTTAGAAGGCGACGTGGTGAAAGGAGGAATCCACAGTTTTTTGTTGAAAGACATGTTCATCACACTGTTGGAGTTATGGTTTGGGGTGCTATAGCTTATGGTTCCAGGTCACCTTTAATCTTCATCAGAGGTAACATGAACGCGCAGCGTTATATCCACGAAATTCTAGAACCCCATCTTTTACCCTATCTTGACACCCTGGCAGATCCAACTTTCCAACAAGATAATGCCCGACCACATATTGCAAGAGTCACAATAGACTTCTTTCAACATAATGATGTCACATTGTTGCCATGGCCACCAAGATCTCCCGACTTTTCCCCAATTGAGCACGTGTGGGATATGATGGGTAGGAGTTTGCTCAATTTGCAACGTCCTCCTCAGACTCTAGAAGCACTTCGAGAGGAGTTGGTGGTTGCCTGGAATGAGCTACCACAGGAGGACATTGACCACCTGATCAGAAGCATGCCTAGGCGCGTTGGAGAATGCGTAGCACATCAGGGTGCATCCACACATTATTAAAGGTCAAAGGGCTTTAAAGCAGTGCAATCATTTTGATTTTTTTATCATTTACTTATTATGCTTCATTAAGTACTTATACAAAATTTTATTAAAATAAAACCATTTAAACTGGGTGTTCGGATTTATATGTCACTTAGTATATATACCGTGAATACCACTTACATATTTCTGAACAGACACACTTTTTGTAAACAATGATATCCACGCGCACATTATCAGGGTAAAAAGTCAGTTTTGTACAATTGTGGAGTGGAAATAACTTAACTTTCCCAAAATCGTTTCAATTTTTTCGTACTTTATTTGTAGTGGAATTTTAAAATAAATTGCACATTAACATTAGACATAATGAGAATTTAAATATGATGTTTCATCTCTTGTCCTTTAGCATCAACTTTATTTTTTCTTACAGAAGCCATATTGGAATTTTGGACGGATAAATAGACTTTGCAATTCTGATTCCAAACATGAATGATACACCATACATCGACCTTGCCAAACTTTAGTCGTAATTGCCGCTTTTTCTCCTTTTCAAGATGGAGTAGTCAAATATTCAATTCGAGATGCGTTCTTTGGAGTTCCATCATCAACACATGGACACAATATTGGAATTTTGCACTTAAATGGAGTTTTCAGTCCTAAATTCAATGATTTATTTTCTTAGTTGACCATGAATTTGTTGTTGGAAAGAAAATTATAAGGAAATAAAATGGTATGGTAAACCTGAACACAAAATGAATATTTTACTGATGGTAATACTAAGGATAATAATCACAAATATGCAGAGGTCCGTTATTTTGTAGGAAAAGCCTGACTCTTCTCCGTACATTGTTCAACTCTCAGCTCATTATAACTTTCTCATAAATCTGGCATACGAAACAAATGACTATCTGATTCAAGGCCAACATAGGAATTTCTGTTTTTCTAAATAACTAAGATTTAGCAATGTCAATGGATGACATTATATGCATTTTTGAAATCAGAATTAAAATATCTAATTATCTGTAAAAACGAAATTGATGCTAGAGGACAAGAGATGAAACATCATATTGAAATTCTAATTATGCCAATTTGTAGAGGAAAAGTGGCAATGTTGATGTGCAATTTATTTCGAAATCCCACTACGAATAAAGTCAGGAAAAAATCAAAACAATTTCGAAAAATTCGTTTTTCCCGTCGCTCTCCGCAAGTACTTTGTATTTCGAAATTTTCTAAGTTATCTAAATACGCAACTTTGCCCCCATCTAAGCGACTTCGTATCTCTTGCCATTTTCAATAAAAATTATATTAAAGTCAATAGAATATACGATGTTGACTGGTCTAATAAAAATCATTGGCCACCTGCCTACGCGAATCTCAACGTGTGTTTATATGACATTTTTCATCTCACCTGTGTGTTATTTATTTTTTCGCCGTATTTATTCAACATCAAGTGCACCTACGCGCACGCAGTCTGATTTCGTCACGATTCACAGCCTGCTTTCTATGGTATAGGAATGGCGCCGTCTCGTCATGTCACCTGCGCTATATGGTGATATCAACGATGGACTAAAATGGAATCCCTATGAGGAAACGAGGGTATATGAAAGTGAAAATGAAAAATGCTGTCAAGGAGATTTCTACGATACCTCCAACGTCTTCCCACGAGTCTACAGTTATTTGCTGTGGAGAATTCCTTCTTACTAAGTACCTACTATTCGTTGGCTGTCCAAATATCCAGTATAGACTTCTCAATATTCAATATACAAGTAGAATTTAGTAAAATTAAAAAGACAGAGAATTTTTATCCGTTAGGTTAATTGCAAAATTCTCCTAGGCAACACTTATATTGTGCGAAATTTGATTAAAATCGATTGAACAGAATCCAGCATGTCAAGGAGATTTATACGCCACTTGGCAGGCAAGGTTGAAATTTACTTTTATTTTATAAATGCCCACAATGAAGTAGTTTAACCAGTGGTGAAGGTACACCTTCTGCTATACCAGGGTTTCGAACCTTGTTTTTTGTTGAGGCTCCCCGGACTATAAATTATATTTTCATGCCCTCTTTACTTTTGCAATAAATCCAAAAAACGCACATTATATAGGTACAAAGAGTTTTATTTTAATTCTATTAAAGAAACTTTAAAAGTTTAAATAAACTAATCAATGTTTTTATCAAAAGAATTGAATAAAATAAGAATAGGTACTTGAGATTGCATGTTCTGTACCAGTTGGTTGATTCTAGGTTCTGTTTTTGCCAGAGCTATCAAATATGTTAGTTAAATAAGCCAACCTCCATTGAAATGTGTCATCTTCGAACATTGTCAAGAAATCGTGTTTTTCTTTGAACTCAAGAAAAAGAATTACCTCTTCTTTCAATTCATAAACGCGAGCCAACATGTTGCCTTTGGACAGCCAGCGTACTTCTGTATCGAATAGAAGAACTTTGTGATCAGAATCGAGATCCTCGCAAAGTAAAGTAAATAACCGACTGTTCAAAGCGCTGCTCTTGATGTAATGGGTGATTTTTTTGCTAGTATCTTTTTGGCAACACTGTTTTTGACAGATGACGCGTGAATCGTGTCTTGTGTCATTGTCAAACTTGTTCAGTTTGGTCTATAATTTAACCATAAATCGACTTACGAACGAACAACGCTTGCAAATTATTGAATTTTACTATCAAAATTCATGCTCGGTTAAGAGAGTGCATCGAGCACTGCTTCCAATTTATGGGCAATTTGGTCGGCCTACTAAGGGAGCTATTCGGAAGCTTGTCACTAAATTTCGAACCCAGTTTACATTATTGAACATTAAACCACCAACACGCAGACGTAGAGTGACGACTGAAGAAAATATTGCGGCTGTATCCGCCAGTGTTAGTGATGACCGTGAAATGTCGATTCGCCGCCGTTCGCAGCAATTGGGCCTCTGTTACTACACTACGTGGAAAATTTTGCGACAGGATTTGGGTGTAAAACCTTATAAGATACAGCACTAACCAACCTGACGCACAATATTATTTTTGTTGACTTGGTTGGTATGCTTCTGCTATTGTATAACAGTTACAAAGATGAAAACGCTCTTTGGTACGATATACGATGTGAAAACCGTAGACCTTTATCCAGAATAACCACTAAATTTTTCGCGGAGTTTGTAAAAGTTATTTTGTCTTGTCCGAAACAAACGTCAGAGTTCACGAATCTGTTTTACCAAATAGTAGAGCCTGAGATTTAGTTGCGTTGACGGAGAGACAATATTTTTTTTTTAACTGGTAAAGAACCTGAACGTCCTCATGTATGTTAATTGAAGTACGGTTCATATGCGATTCTTTAAAAGCAATATATAATTGAGTGTCATCAGCGTAATAGTGATATGAAAGGTGTTTAAGAGTGTATAAGAGTGGACCTAAAACAGATCCCTGTGGCACACCTCGATAAACGTTAGACAATTCGGACGATTCACCAAAACATTTGACAACTTGAGCCCGATCTGCGGCATAGTTTGTTCACAAATAAACGGCACTATTTGAAAAACCCAAGAAGTGTTGAACATCAATCAGCAGCTTATCAAGAGCCTTCGAGAAATCTAGTAAAATTAAGATGCGTAGATTGCTATCACCAATGTATCTGCGGATATCATCTGTTACTTTGATTAAGGCCGGTGTACAGCTATGACCTGATCTGATCTTCTCGGGTGGAATAGGAAGTCGTGTTCCTTATCAGTAGGTACTTTACAACTCTAAAGTATACATTTAAGAACTTTAATGACCGACTAGAGGCACTAAGCGCCGTATCGTCAGTCGTTCCTACAATTGTACGACGCCTTTATGGCCTCCTTGATTTTCATAGTGTTCTAGTGCTCCGTGTCAGCGCTCTATTTTGAGGTTATGTTACAAATATCTAGCATCAAATTGTTCATGCTTCTGATTCATATCATCTATTATATCAGCCTGAAATTTCCTACAATTCAAAAAGAAAGAATTGCCTCACATTAGGAGAGCGCTGACGCTGACATGGTACAGTAGAAATATAGGAATTCATCAACCTTTCTGAAGAAAAGAAAAGACTTCGAAAATCAAAGAGGCCATAAAAGGGTACTACAATTGTACGACGCCTTTATGGCCTCCTTGATTTCCATAGTTTTCTATTGCTCCGTGTCCGCGCTCTATTTTGAGGTTATGTTACAAATATCTAGCATCAAATTGTTCATGCTTTTGATTTATATCATCTATTATATCAGGCTGAAATTTCCTACAATTCAAAAAGAAAGCATTGCCTCACATTAGGAGAGCGCTGACGCTGACACGGAACAGTAGAAATATAGGAATTGCCCAGCCTTTATGAAGGAGAGAAAATACTACGAAAATCAAGGAGGCCATAAAAGCGCCCTGCTTTTGTAGGAATAACTGACTAAAGGGCCCTTAGATGAGAATTTTTGTACATTGAAGCGCTCAACAATTATTATCCATCTAAACTATACAGGGTGTTTCAGTTTATTGTTACATAACTTTAAGATTCGATAGAACTTTTAAAATTAATGCATAAAGTCTATATAAACATGGGTCGAAAAATGCGTGGCTTCCGAAATACAGGGTGTTTAAATTTACTTTTTAAAATAGTTTTTTTTAAATATTTCGAACAATATTTGATGTATAACAATGAAAATTGGTATACAAGGGTTTTTTGGTACGACAAAACGAACCATGGGCATAGTTTTACTGTAGCCGCTAGAGGGCGCTCTCTACTGTACCTGTAGTGTATTAAAATGACCGAACATTTTTTCTTATTGCAATTTTTTGCTTTTTGATTAAAAAAACTGATTACTTCGCACTTTTCAACATAAAAAGCTCTCCTGTGAGTTTTCGTTATAGTCAGCCGTTTTTGAGATATTTCGATTTTTAAGGTTCGATGCATTTTTAATTATTTATGGGAAAATGATATTTTTTTTACATTTTCGATTTGGGCATTACAAGTAATTAAGATGATCGTTTAGATTGTGTTTTTAAACACAGCAATAATTCCTAACTCCAAGTAAACACAAAAAACAATATTAATTTGTTTAATTTTCCAATATTATTTTTAACAAATTAAATTAAGTATTTACAACTAAAATGCTATTGGATAGTTAGGACAAACATACAAAATCTAAAGTAGTTGCTCGAAATGTAAACCCAATTGTTCAATACACAATTGACATCTACGAATGATCGAGCGTGGTATAGCATTATTCAAATAAGGCCTTATTTCATCACATGCATTCCTGATTCTGTCTATTAGCATATCTCTTGTGGTTACGGGAGTCTGGTACACTTTTTCTTTTAGAAATCCCCACACAAAGAAATATAATGGATTTAGGTCAGGGGATCGTGGAGGCCAGGCGACTGGTCCTCCACGGCCGATCCATCTTTCTGGATAATTTTCGTCCAGCCAGTTTCTAACTAACTGGAACCAGGCCAATCTTCTTAAATCTAACATAACATCATCCCACATATTTGCATGTTCAGCCTTTAAAAATTCCAAGAAGGTCGCAGCATTTAACCTTGCAGGCAAAAGGTAAGGTCCAAATAGTCGATTACGGTAGATACCTATCCACACGTTCACACTAAATTCATGCTGAAAATTTCTTTCCTGAACTGCATGCGGATTTTCATGCGACCAAATATGTTGATTATGAAAATTTACCACTCCACGTCTAGTGAAGCATGACTCATCGGTCCATAAAACGTTACTTAAAAACTCCCTATTATTATCAGTTCTATCAAGAATCCACTGACAAAATGTGATTCTTTGGTCTCCGTCTCCTGGCTGTAGTCCTTGCACAGGTTGCAAATGGTAAGGACGTCTATGGTCATTTCTAAGAACACGGTGAACATGGCTTGCTGAAATTCCCAAGGCACCAGAAACTCTCCTAACACTTGTGGTCAGATCTCTATCAAACTCACGCAGAGTCATACGGGTAAATCTGCGCTGACGAACATGTTTTGATCCCTTTGGAGATTTCCAAAACCATTTTCAATTATTTGGCGATGCACTCTTACAAATACTGAGCGAGTTGGATGTCGTCTGTTTGGAAATCTTCGTGCGTATTCTCTGGCTGCTTCTGCTGCGTTTCCATTTACAAAGCCATACACAAAATGAATATCCGCTAACTCTTGAGGTAAAAGAACCTAAATTTGCAATAATATAATAAAATTGCAAAAAAGGTTCAGGTTTCAACAGACAACAAAACTAACTGTCAACTAATTGACGTTTAACCTTATTCTGCTTTCAATTTCAAAAATATTTGCAGGCACAGCCTACTTCTAAAAATTATCGAGATACTGACTTTTTAACGTTATTTTATCATAGATAATTAAAAATGCATCGAACCTTAAAAATCGAAATATCTCAAAAACGGCTAACTATAACGAGAATTCACAAGAGAGCTTTTTTATGTTGAAAAGACGAAGAATCAGTTTTTTTTATTCAAAAAGGAAAAAATTGCACTAAGAAAATTTTTTCGGTCATTTTAATACACTACAGGTACAGTAGAGAGCGCCCTCTAGCGGCTACAGTAAAACTATGCCCATGGATCGTTTTGTCGTACCAAAAAACCCTTGTATACCAATTTTCACTATTATACATCAAATATTGTTCAAAATATTTAAAAAAAACTATTTTAGAAAGTAAATTTAAACACCCTGTATTTCGGAAGCCACGAATTTT